CACCCCCTGGGGGGAGGGAGGGCAAAAAAATCGACCCCCAATTGAAAAACACTATTTTAAGAAATCAATTGAGAACGAATAAAGTACTACTTACTACAATAGTAGCCATATTTTAGTTAAAGCAACAGGTGATACACACTGAAAATATGTCTATAAAAAGGTTTAGGAAGGGTTTAGGAATCTTCCTCTCTCATACACACACACAGGCCCATAATGAATAAAGTTTCTAAAAGACTTTTGGGAATTCTGTGTGTTCCTAAGGTTGAGGTAACAGAGATCCCACTTACTATCTTGGGACTGTCTGAGGCTGCCCCCAGATAGGATGAAAAACAAAGTTATATGGATAACCACACCCACCCAGTAGAGCACCTGAGATATTTCTGATGCTTTCTTTTTCTAGAAATCCATTTGTAAACTGCACCTGCAGCAGGAACACCCCAGAGTGGCACCATGTGCTAGAGCAGTGGTTCTCAACCTTCCTAATGCTGCAACCCTTTAATCAGTTCACGATCCACAGGTTGAGAACTGCTGTTCTAGAGAGTGTCACTGAACCTCCCTGCACTTCAGAATCACCAGGGGAACTTTCCCAGCATGGAGACTCTCAAAGACTCCTCTCTACATTTTAATTTTGCATTTTAAGGTAAAGAAACAGGCATCTGTAAATGTCATAAGCACTTCAAGTAAATGAAAAAACTCTGGTCAAGTAGAACAGTGTCATGAAATATGTGAGAAGGTTTGAATTGACTCTGTCCCACCTGAACTTCGACATTAGGAAGAGACCTGCAGACTATGCAGAATTCGTTATGAGAGGAACTGTAGACTGTAAGAAGATACACGACATTAGCATCTTACCCAAATGGAAAGTTCAATTTGAAAACTAATATTTCAGACAAAAAGAATTAATTAGGTACTGCTGTGGAATTGTAATTTCTAGTAACATGTCTCCAGTTATCTCTGGTGACAGCTTTTGCTAAAACTCCATCATGCTTAGCTAGACAGACCAAAGTTACTCTGCTTCCTCATGTGGAACTTCAAAGGGTCCTTCTGCACACTTTAAAGATGACAGGCAGTTGAAAAGAAAATCCTCATTCCATCTTCCATTCAGCAGAGTAGATGCTTACTCATGCCATGAATGGGAAACAGTGCTTCTGCTGTAAGAGGCTACACATTAATCTAGGTAGAGGAATTCTGTACCTAACTATTCTGTGGGCTTTTCTCTTAGTCAGTTCTCACTGTTGTAACTAAGTACCATGGACTGGGCAGCTGATAAATGACAGAAATGTATTTCTCACCATTCTCAAGGCTGGAAGTCTGAGATCAGGGTACAATATGGGCGGGTCCCAACAAGGGCTTTCTTCCAGGTTCCAGATGGCTGTTTTCTCCTTGTATCTTCACATAGCAGAATGGGAGCAATCGCGCTCTCTGGACTCTTAAAGGGCACTAATCCCACTTAAGAGGGCTCCACCCTCATGACTTAATCATCTCCCCAAGCTCTTATCTCCAAATATCATCATGTTGGGAATCATTTCAATATATGAATTTGGGAGGGGGACATAAATATTCAGTTCATAACAGCTTCCATCTCACATTATTTGGTTTGCAAGCAAAAAGTAGGGTGACCAACCATCCCGAATTACCTGAGACTGAGGATTTCTAAGCACATCGAACTTTCAGTTCTAAAAATGGGATAATCCTGGGCCAACCAAGCCAGTTGGTTATCCTCTATACAGGTCCAAGCTGCCTTGTGGCCATCTTCCTCTCCATCATTTCTCTCTAATGGCCCTACAGCTTTCACATCTATGTCCACATGCCTTGTCCATGTCCCCACCCCACCCACCCCTAGCCTGCATAGTTAGTATATAAACATATTTCTTCTTCTGAAGTGGATGGAGCCAACTGGCCAAAGATCCTGAGTTATAAGTCACATGTGGTCTGTGAGCCTCTTCCTTTGATGAAATTGAGGTAGAGCATCAGCCAGACAGAATTTGACATTCTCTCCCAATTCAAGACTCTGTCCACTTGACCAGTAGTTCCCAGAACTTGGGAGTGTCTGTGAAATATACAGATTTCAGGACTTCCACCCCAGAGACCTGAGGATCTCTCCATTGGAAAAGCTTCCTGGTAATTATGATGTGTAATAAGGTTCTGGAACCTTCTTTGGGGGTGTCATGAAATGTGCTTTTTGCTGTAGATGCAGTTTAAATTGGATTTCTAAAGCAGGGGGAGGCTTTCAGGTATCTTATTAGGTGGGACCTTTGCAACCAATAAACCCAAGTTAAAGCCCAATACTTGGTTCTCAAGAACTAGAAACTACTATACTTTGCTCAGACCATCATTTCAGATATATCCCGCAATAGTTAAACAGCTTTACTTAAGACATGCTCTAATAAAGTCAAAAGAATTTCAAAACTGCTTAAGTAACATCAATTTATACCTATGAATATTTGCTACTAATGGTTAATTGTTGGCATAATATATCCAGATTTTCGTATAAAAATCACTTGTATTTTGTCCTTAACCAATCACTGACATCAATAAATACTAACTGAATATTTATCTATATGCAAGGCTCAGGGCTAGATGCTAGATTTTAAGAAAGAGGAAACTATTTTTAAATTACTTTAAGCTTTCAAGAACTTACAGCTGTGTTAATCTTATGTGATCACCTTCTTACCAGTGACTTAGAGGAAAAAACCAAAAACCAAAAAACTACAGTTTCAAGGTGTTCAAAGATCACTTCAGAAATCCATTGATCTGAGCATATATATTTTCTCTGTGTGACACATAGATTAGAAAATATGTAGCCTCCATGTAAGATTGCATTTGGAAGTGAATAAGACCAAACCATCCCATAATTTAAACTATGTAAGCATCTTACAAATGCCTGTCATTTTTATGATATCCCTACCAAATACAGTGACTTCTTCTTAGATTCCTGAAAACATCTTGTTTTCTAGAGATTTCCAGAGTCAATTTTCCAGACTCACTTTTTTTTTTTTGAGACAGAGCCTTAAGCTGTCCCCCTGGGTAGAGTGCTGTGGCATCGCTCACAGCAACCTCCAACTCCTGGGCTCAAGTGAGTCTCCTGACTCAGCCTCCCAAGTAGCTGGGACCACAGGCACCCGCCACAACACCCGGCTATTTTTTTTGGTTGCAGCCCTCATTGTTGTTTGGCGGGCCCAGGCTGGATTCGAACCCACCACCTTAAGTGTATGTGGCTGGCGCCTTAGCCACTTGAGCCACAGCCGCCGAGCCTCCAGACTCTCTTGGAAGGGCTCCAGACACTTCAAATTCATCTACATTTTCAAAAATCCAACATCCAATCCATCAGCCTCCTCTGTAAATACCTTCTGCCCATTTCTGCCATTTGACACTTAACATGGAATGCATTTATGGTTCCTTTGTGTGGGAAACCCTACATAAACCTAGTATTTATTTCCATTCTACAAGGAGTGATAATAAGTTGTTCAAAATCCCGTGCATCCAGAATGAGAAAATGCAAAGCTATTCTTGATCCTGGAGAAAATGAGACTTATAAAAGTCATAATTTAAAAGAAAGAAAAAAATATATATCCATATCTAGCCTGTGACAAATACCTTATTAAACACTTTGCCAGGTACTTGCTTAGCTAATCCAAAACATAAATGACTCCAAAGTTAATTTATATTTGACTTGAGACTTCTTTATCTGTTTTGTATGTTGTTTGTTTGCAGGAGGGAGAAAATGAGGTTGGAGGAAGAAAAGGAAGGATGTCTACTAATCTGATCGAAATCCCTAATTGGCTTGACATTGGCTCTTGCCCAGTTTCACTTGTATCTTATCCAAACTCAGCGGCCAACAGAACAGGAGAGCTCTCTAGCGCAAGGACAGCCACTGGCACCTGCATCCATAAGAAAATAATTTACCAATGCCCAGCAGGGCTCTCCTAGGCCTCCGTGTCCTTAGTATGATGAATGTTACTTCACAGGTCAATTTAAGGAGTTAATATAATATACACAAAGTGCTAAGAACAGTTCCTGGATCACAGAAAGTTTAAATAATAGTAGCTACTATGAGTAGCTATTATTAGCTACTATCATTAATACACATTCCAATACTGGAAATGACTGATTTGCCTCCTTATACCACGTGGGTTATTTTTTACACAGGCGTGTCTTAAGTGTACTATTGCTAATGGCACTGAAATAGATTACCTTTGCAAATGTCTCCCTTCAGCTCCTGGAGATTAAGGGGCTCTCATGAAGCAAGTTCACCTAAGCCTATTTCTACCATCCATACAGAAACCAGTCTGCAAACCTCTGGTTAGAGAACGTAAGCTTTGCCCTCATTTCTACTCATTTCTTTCCTCTCTAAGTCTTCCTGGGAGCATTAATTTGCCTCCTGTTTACTAACCAGTTTACCATTCTAGGGATTGAAACTCAAGAAACTAGCAGAAAACTGAGACCCAAATTTTCCATGTTTTGACACAGAAATTAATGCAACATCAATTGAGACAGAACAAGACATTGCAGGACGAGAATGAACTGTCCATGGAGAACTCCTCCCATTCTGCTCATACTGCTGGACTGTCTTACAAGCAGTTAACAGAGGGGAGGTAGGGCGTTCAAGCTTCCCCACCCCTCGATAGCTCACAAATATCAGGAGTTTCAAGACAGAGCAGAGGTTGTCTAAGTCTAGTGATGTTAAAATAAATATTCCACTGATTTGTCACGGGAGACCAGATAGGAAAATGAAGACCAGGAGTGGTGCTGGGTGCTTTCACGTGACGCCCACTTATGGGAGTCTGACTCGTGGCCCCAGCTGAAGAGAAGGTCTTACAGCAAATCCTAACTCCTCCTGCTCCCCCTCAGCTCCCCCTGGGCAACTCGCAAGCCCCTCTTGGGTCTTCACGTTTTACCAGGCACCATTTCCCCCAGGGTGACAGGTTGAGAATCATACTGCAAGAAGCTGAACTCTCTTGAGAGTACAATTTGGGACGCCCCCCAGCCCTGCCTCTTACCTGCGGAATCCGCCCCATCGGCTGGCACGCTCTGGGTTGACACTGGGGCTGGGTCCTTCACTCCATGCACCTGGGCAGCTTCTTCCTGGTTTGTCAGAAATGCAGAGCACAGATCAGATTCAAGGGCTTGGAGCTTCAGCAAGGAATTCTGCCAGCAAAAGCAGAACATCAGGCTAGCTAAGGTAGAAGCCTGGCTTGCAACAGTGAGTGCGCAGCTCCTGCGAGCACCTTCCTCAGCGCCTGGCAGGAGGAGGGTGGCGGCCACAGCTGCTTCAGGGAAAGAGCTGGTTGTGCCAGAATCATCCACGCAGTATTCCACATGCAGGCTCAGGGGCTGCCTCATTTAAATCCTAACGTATATGGCTAATCAGTGACACATGGGACTGGTGATTTCGTCAGCAAGAGACGCTGCATCTGGAGAACCAATCTGAGCCGGTCTCTGCTTCCCGGGGGTTTGAGGTTTTACGCTTTGCAAGTGTTCCATTCATCGTGCTGACATCAGGAGCGAGGACATCAGGCCCCTCCCCGGCCACCATTCATAAAAGCCAGCGTCCCTCCAAAGCCAAGACTGCAGCAGACCGCAGTGCACAAAGAGTTACTGCCGCAGAGGCTGCCTGGCATCAGGGAGGGGCTCCCCGGCTCCCTTATCCATCTCTGCACGTCAGGGGTTGGGGGGGATGTCTTCTAAAGTTACTTCTCTGCTGTGGGATGGCTGCAGCTGCCTTTTATCAAGAACAGGGTCGCAGGAGATGACCTTGGTCCCTGTGCGTAACCCAGTCACTGAGAAAGAAACAATTTACCTTTCACAGCCTTGGGCATAACCTCCCACCCACTCCCTTCATTTCTCATTTTAAATTTCTCCCATGGTTCTTAATAAGAACAAAGTCATACAGACTGACGCACGCATCCTGCCATGGTGCAGACGCCAGCAGATTACATCCCCCAACCAGGTGAAAGTGAGTCAGCCTGAGGCCCTGGGCAGGCCTTGCCCACTCACAGCAGGAAAGCAATGCCCGGCTCAGCTGCTCGTCCACCTGCCCGGCTCCCAGGGGTGGCCGCCAGGAGCAGAGCCATCGGTCCTTTTCTAGTCTGACCCTGCAGCACACATAGGGACACACACGCCTACTCACACGCTACCCTCCACAGCCCTGCTCCTCACTCCCCCACGCCCTGCTCCGCAGTCCCATCCCCTACCCCTCACCCTCTGCCTTACTCCACACACATTCTCTATCTACCGTTCATCCCCGCATCCAGCCCACCTCATACATACCCATACCTCACAGCAGCCCCCCAAATCTCACAGCCCGCTCCACGCCCACACACACCCCTACACTCCACCTACCACACCTCACATCCACCCCCCTTGCCCTCACCCCCTATTACACACACACCTGACCTTGTATAAATACCTACCCAACTTCTCCTCACAGCCCAACCCCTCCCTTCCACACACTACCAACTCCCCCCACACACCCTCATTCATTCTGTTGTGTGAAGCAGTGTTTTAAAAGCTGCTCACTGAGGAAGGTCTTAAATCTGTCCCTCAGCCTCTCTGAAAGGAGCAGGTGTGGGGCAGGCTTGGAGCCCCTCCTCTGCCATGCCCAGAGGTGGGGTAGGATCTGGGACGAACCTCCTCCCCTCCTCCATGCTCAGAGATGGCTGCCCACAGCTCAGACGCAGCACCTGCCTGAGACTGGCCCATTTTTTATGGCCGCCTCCTTCTTTCTGGGATGTTTTCCCAGGAACCAAGTGTGGAAGCAAGAAGGTCATTGACAGGAGTCGCAGAAGGAGCAGGGGCACCAAGTTTCTGGAAGGATTTAGTACCCAAGCAGCTGGGAGGCAAAGAGAATGATTTCAGGCCAGCTTCCCACTGGAGGAGGACCTTGAAAATCAGTGACCTTGCCAAAGAGCAAAGGACTCTGAAGATTAAGAAATCATGCCCTGGGGATGAAAATGGTGCTGCAACTGGGGAAAACAATGTGGCGGGTCCCCAAGAAAGTGAAAAAGGATGACCATAGAATCCAGCAATTCCACTGCTGGGTATACAGCCAAAAGAACTGAAAGCAGGGACGTGAGCAGGTATCCACACATTCATATTCACAGCAGCATTACTCACAATAGCCTAGAGATAGGTCGCACATGAAATTTTGTCTCTCCAAAATCTGTATGCTGAGGTCCTACCTACCTCCTCCGTGTGACTGTATACGGAGACAGGGCCTGTAAGTTTAAATGAGGTCATAAAGGTAGGGCCCTAGTCAATAGGACAGGTGTCCTTATAAGAGGAAAAGAAGACACCAGGGTCGTGCATACACAGATACAAAGCCATGTGAGGACACAGTTGTCCGCGAGCCATGGAGAGAGGCCTCAGGAGAAGTGACCCTGGCTGGCACCCTGGTCTTGAACTTCCAGGCTCCAGGATTGTGAGAAAACAAATTTCTGTTGTTTAAGCCAGCCAGTCTGTGGTACCTTGTCATGAAAGCCCAGAAGATGAATATTAATATAAGGTAGAAGCAGCCCGAATGTCAACCGGACAGATGAGTAAACGCAATGTGGTATATACGTGCAGCGGAACGTAATTCAGCATTAAAAAGGACAGCAATTCTGACACATCTCGTTACATGCATGAACCCTGAGGACACTGTGCCAGTCATGAAAGGAGAAATACTGTATAATTCTACTTCTATCAGGTAGAATTCATAAAAACTGAAAGTCGCATGGTGGTTGCCAAAGGCCAGTGGTGGCAGATGGGGAGATACCGTTTAATGGGTGCAGCGTCTCAGACTGGGGAGATGAAAAGTTCTGGGGAAGGAAGACAGCAACGGCGGCACACAGGGGGACTATACTTAATGCCACTGAACTATACACTTGAAAATGGTTGAAATGGTCAACTTTATATATATTTTACCATAATTATTTTTCAAAAGAATAAAAGGTAAAGTAAAAAGAAAGCCTGTATTCTTGCTTCTTTTTACCTTACCTTTCATTCTTTTTTTTCTTTTTTAATTGCAGAACCGACAGCCTGTGTGTGAGTGTTTGTATATTCTGCAAAGCAGAAGAGGACACAGCCCACAGGTTCCCACGGAAGCAGAAGGGATGTCAGCTCTGCTCCACATTCTGTGTCTGGACTTGGCCAAGCATCCTGGCTATCCCACACCTTAACTTCTCCATCTGTAAAATGAGGCAATAATAATAATAACCACAGCATCTGCTCTAAGGGCTGCTCTCAGAATTGAGGGAACTCACAGAAGGCTTTTGCAGTGCCCCAGCAGGTGGTGAGCACTCAGGGACTGGACTCTGTGGTTATTATTTATCAGAATATCTCCAAACCCAGAGGCTGCTTGGCAGAGCTCTGGCTGTGTGGCCAGGCCAGCCTGCACACTGCCTGATGCCCTGAGGCATCACTTTGCCTCCTGGGGTCTCATTTCTGCCCCTGCCTAGTAAGTCCCCTTCGGACTGGAAAGGGGGAAAAAGCACCCAAGTCCCTAGACTGAGGGTGGTCCACAGAAGCTGGCCTGGAGTGCGTGCTTGGACAGTGTTTGTAGAACTGAACTGAGTGTTTGTGAAACACAAGTAATTAGCAAAGCATTTCACTGCCAAGCAGTTCACACTCAGAGGTCCCTGCACTTTCACTGGAAGAAAGGTGTCCTGCCCAGCCCGAGTTATGCCTGGAGGTATTGGCGGGTTGCTCTCATCTACTTTCCTCCGCCACCTTCTCCCTCACCTGCACTCACACAAAATAAGACCCTGAATGGCAGAAGACATCTGTGTGTCTGGCTGGCTTATTCCTCTCTGACCCACTAGATGGGACTTGACTTGGGGGAATGGAGACGGAAAGAAGTGGCCAGTGGAACAGGAGGGAGAAGATAAGAGTCGGGAGAGACAAGCAGACATCCAAGGAGAAGGGAAAACGAATTGCTGCAAACAGGGCAGAGGCAGAGTGGAAGGGACTCTGCAGACCTGCTGTCCTCAGCTCGTCCCACTGCCACTCCGCACTGACCCACTAGCTGAGGACAACCTGCCTCTGGGCATCACAGGATATTTGCAAGTCCTCCTGAGCAGAGGGTGGGGTCGTGGACACCCTGGGTGGGATGGGTGTGTAAAGGAATACCTCTCCTGATGACCAAGGAACCCAGGACACAGGGGTGGGGGCAGGGGGGTTCCCTATGTGTCATCTATATCACTGTCACATGCATGTCCTTCCAGCAGGTGACGGGAGGCATTCAACCTGGAAAGCCACTCAGTGAAGCCACTCGGACAGCTTGCAGTGCACACATAGGGTGCTGTCCACCTTGTAGATGGGGGCTGCACACACGGCTCTGAAGCTCAGGCAAAAAAGCTGCCCTAAGCTCTGGGAGACAAGACTCCTCTCAGCCCCTTCCTCGTGGGGCTTCTAGTCTAGTGGGGAGAGAGCTAATAGCCAACAAACAAATCCAACAGTGATGACAGTTATTACTGTCACCGAGCTATGGAGGAAAAAAATGGCGAGCCTGGGGAGAGAGTGGCAAGCAACCATTTCTTGACTCCATCATGGCCCGACTCAGTGACCTTTAGTGCAGGAACACGCTTTTCCCTCTACAGAAAAATGAAGGCCAGTAAATCCTTCCAGCGCCGCTGCTTCCTCCTCCTGCAGGAGCCCAGCTCACTGCTCAGGGCCGGCCTGCCAGCGATTTCCCGGGTTGGCAGCCAGCAGCTCCTCGAATGCATATCCAGAATCTGTACAAAAACTGAGCGAGGGCTAACGGGTCCTCTGAAGGACAACGGCCTCCTCTGCCTCTCCATTTAGCCCATCTGGTTAGCGAAGAAGCCAGCGACAAGTCTGAGAAACCTAGGTGTGGTGTTCTCAAAAAAGCTCATTTTTCTCTTTTACATAATGGAGAATATGCTACTTGTTTTAGAAAATACTCTACTCATTTTCTGTCCTCTACAATTACCAGGTCCTACTTTAGTTGGGCTGGAAAAGAGAACACCCACGCAGGCTGGATGGTTCAATACTATTTTAGGGTGCCTTTGTCTGTAATTCCCCAGTTGCAATAGCAGGGATAGCTCATAGAGTGTCTGTGAAGGGGTTTAGTGCCTCGCTCCCAC